AACGCTTTTACATCGAACGTATTTTATAGGAACCCATGGAAGTCATGGGAGTACAAGTGGTAACCAAAATACCTACGAAGTTCACGAAAATATAGAAGAAGATACCAATTTCACCTGGCACGGGAACACTGGTGGCACTTTTTCAGGCTCACGACCAACCAGCACTCAAATCGTTATCCAAAATAAGATTGCTCCTAAGGACAAGAGGCCTTACCCTTACAAATACTCTTATGACAATTTGAATCGAATACAAAACAAAATTGCGCCAACCTCGGAAGAGGATTACCCGATTGAGAATAAGATTGCACCAAAAAGTAACAAAATTTCGTTCCAGTCTTAACTTTTATAGTCTATCGAAATTCACTGCAAAATGCAAAATTTGTTACATTCAAACATTATATAATACCTATGTTCTAATAGAGCTTTTATGTTGGTGCAGAATTAGCATTAAACATACTAATTAATAAAATTGTCGCATCACACTGTCACAATCAACACTGTAATTGTAATTTCTGCGTAAGTTTGTGTGGATCTCATCATGTTTCCGATGCATGAAACATTTCGTGATTTCGGGTAGACCTGTTAAAATTCATGTTGCGTCTCCAGACTCGGAAATCTTTTTGTCCTTCAAATGTGACGACTTCAGCGAACTTCAAAAGAAAAGAACGCATGTATATACTGAATTGAAATAAATTCTTTCTCATTGTCCATTGATCCTTGTATTAAAAAAAAATCCTAGTGAAATTTATGTAATATATTAAATAGTTCAACCTTCAGGTTCCACCTGATCAGAATCGTTGAATTATAATACAATATGTGCATCGAAGCAAAGAAAACAGTATCTTAAGACCAGATGGAATTCCGGTTTCGTAGTATCACAACAATCAATTGATTAATGTGAAATATTCCACTGCTACGAGAATGAAATGCACAACGAGTTGATTACAAAGTGCGATTTTTTACTTCTCGCATTCCACTGTAAATATCTAATAGAAACCACTATCATTCATACCTATATACAATTGTGGTACTATTTACAGTTCTACTACGTTTTGAAATTTGGACTTCATTATATTATGAGTATTAATTGAGTACTTTGTACCAATTTTCACCTATTCTCTAATTTTCACGTTTGCCAAAACTTTAGTTCTTTTTTAAGTAATACGTATATAATATGTATATAAAAGAAGAAGTGCAGAGTTAGACTGTACTTCTTTCTGAACTTCGTACTAACGACTCGATACCATTCTTAGAATCAAATGATTTGAAATATAATTGCTAGATTTGAATCATATTGTGACGCTGCACATACACATTTACTTTCCACAGTGAATGATAATTACCTATCATGAGGCGGGGTATAAAATTATTCCGTAGTTATCGTAATGCCTTAGCGGACGCAAGAAAAACACAGCGTGCGCAAGGTTGAATGAATCACGTATGCGGTTCCGTCGACCGAGGGAACGACAAAGAATGTGTCGCTCAATTTTACATCTTTCACACGACTTCCTTTCGCTTCCTACGATTTTACGTATTGCGGACACGTCGATAGTCTAGCGAAGACAATGACCCGTCGAAATCGCTTCGTTTCGAGTTAAAAAAAAAAATTAAACTCTAACGGGATATTTCGAGAACCTTGATCTGTCAATCAGAACTCGTAGAGTGTCTTGGATCGCCGATGTACCGCTAAATTCTTTAGAATTCTTTTAGTAAATCTTAAGACGAAGTAGTTTATCACGTGTAACTGGCTCGTCTAATCAATTCGGCGTTGGATCAATTAATAAACATACATCTGGTTTTGCGTCATCCATTCACCTCGTAATTACTGAGTCAACTATTGTTTCTTTACTAGCGTTTTTGCAATTCTCTGAAATTATTCCCGTGCGCGGTTCTCAGTTCACGTCAAGACAGACAGAACTATCACACGTCACGATCGCATCGTACTAAAATGTGTGCACAGATAAAATCTCTTAAGTCCCATAATCCCTTCAAGTTCATATGAAAACTTCTCAAGGATGGAGAATTATCTTTATCTATATCAGTATATTCAAATAAACAAAATAACACCATTATATTTCTGAATAATTAACTTTTTTTTTAACAAAAAAACGATATTATAAATAAAATCAGTTTGCGTTGCTCCCATCGCCGAATCCTTTCACAAATAACAAAACTGACGATGCAAACGGCTGGCTATGCCGGCTAACCATCTATCATTCTCGGCTACTATTGCCCGTTCTTGACCCTGGTAGTTACCCATTGTGACAGAATTCAGTAGACAATTGTTATAAATCGACGATTAACTAGCGAAATACTTCAACCCGCCGATAGCAACGGCACGAGCAACAACTTCTTCTCGGGGCTACGTCAGTGCGTTCTTTGTGTAATATTCCTTCCCGACGAGAGGAGGTGGGCCGCCGAGATGCCTTGCAGGTCTTTTTAGAAATCGGTGGTAAATGCGGCGGCCAGCCGACGTCCAGAGTCAGTTGATAGAAAGATGCTGCGGCGCAACGTTCTCGCAGTGTTCACGTTTCTCCCAGTGATTGCCGTGAACGGAATGCCTCAAAATGCTGATAACAGTGGTCAAGCTTCGTCGGCTAATGTGAGTTTTCCTACTAGTTGAGAGTAAATGTAATCAATTTATTAAACTGAGCGCCTCGATGAATTTAATCAAGTTCCTATTTGTACTTGCTTTGTGAATAATCGTGACGCAGCGATTTATCGAATTTCGATCGACGATGACTGAACTGCTTACGAATTTAGCAAAGGTCTGACAAATGATAGAATTTATATTAAAAGAATTTATGAATCCCTGAATGTCAGCTTTAGAACTGTGAAAATTTTTTTTTATAGACGTGCCTTGCAAAATCAATGAAAGTTTCGTTCAATGACTTTCTAATGTTTCCGACTGTAACGCTCTAATTGAATAACGTCTGTTGAATGTTCTTGCTACAATTATTATGTGAACAGGCAAGTAACGAAAAGTAAAATACGTAATTGATTGAATATAAAAGAAAATTAGAGAAAGGGTAGCTGATGATAGAGTGTCATTAGGTAACCGAGAAATGTAACGACTAGTAGAGAAAGGATTGCGGAAGCTAGCGTTGTAACGAGTTCGCAATGCTTATGTAGACGTTTGAAAAACAGGGTTTAGATACTGTCGATATTTTTAGCTTTAAAATTAGAAACATGTATTTGTATAATAACACATCCCGTCTTTTAAATGCGAAGCATAGAAGAAGGTGACTCATAAAATATAGGTAAAGAAAATGTAACTAGACCATGTTCTAATTACTTTTGCGTCACCATAATATTCTTCCTTATTTATTCCATACACTTCGATTAATCTTCTTTATACATTGTAGAACACTAAACATTGACAGAGGTCAGACTTAAAAGACAATTAGACGATTTCGAAATCGCACATGCATTTCGCTAATCACATACAGTAAATGGCCAAAGAATGTCGCTTTTAATTAGCACACTCATTTCCGACATGTGACTACATAAGACTCTATTTAGTGAATTTTAAAACTACTATACGAAATAAACAAGCTATAATAGTTTCTCTGTTAAAACTACTCCAGAGAGAAAAACTAGTTAAAATTAAATCACGATCGTTTCCCTTTCGCCCTCGAATCTCCGGAAACAGAATAGAATTAATTCGTTTCTATTTATTTTTCACAGCTGCCATTAATTCAGTTCACCAACGGTGGCATCAGATTAAATTTTGCTGGCTACCACGCCGCAGCCGGGTTGGGCGGCCTCCTGGGTGGCTCCCAAACTGGTGGTGGACTACACGCGAGTGCCGGTACACCTTGGGGTGCCCACGCTGGTGCTGGGTTGGGTGGCTTGCTCGGCGGCGATAATGCGAATGCTGGCTAGTATTATTCCGTTTTGACGTCACACTTTTTCTATCTTCTGTTAACTGTGACCTATTACGCCCGGAAAATAATGATGATACGAATCAATTATATAACAACACTGCACGTGTTGCAAATTAATGCTGTCTCGCGGAAACATCCAAATGTCGTCAATCTCGTATAAAATATATTTTTCATATTTTTGAGACACTTCAGACAGCAAAATAGCACGGGATTTCTTTTGATATTAAAATTTTCCTGATTTATTTATCGTTGTAAAAATATTCTACAATCGAACTGATAGGTGGTGGGCTCTACGCAAGAGCGGGTCTCGGGAACGGAAGACACGAGGCAGCGGCCGGATTAGGCGGAATGTTGGACGGAAGCGGAAGATCTGCTAATCCAATTAGAGGAGGACTGTTTGCCACTACTGGACTTCGTGGAGTTGGTCTATCAGCTGGGGATGTTAGCGGTATACCGATACCAGTACCATCCGCTCCCGATGCACCGTTTGCTCCGAGTAACCAAAAGCCTGACGAACATATCGACAAAAATAAACCAAACCCAGAAAATCCAAATAATAAAGGACGCACTAATATTCAAATAATCTCTCGATCGGATAAGAAGCACAAAAATAAGCTGGTTCGTTGAATTGCCTCATTTTTATATTTGAACTACCAATTCCCCTTCCGTATAATAATTTCCCCGTTAAAAAAACCGTTACTTCCCGACTTTCGGTAGTTTTAGCCTTAATCAATAAGTGAAAGGGTATTAAAATACGATTCTCAAGGATAAATGTCAACAGGTTGGCGAATCATCGACCGAAAGTCCCAAGCCGGCGGATCCACCAGCGAACAAAGAAGTAAGAGATTTCTTGAACGATCTCGAGTATTCTTAATAGGATTTACTGATTTCTGAACATGTTCATTGCGTCAGATTCGTGAAGTGATACAAGCGGCGCCTGCGGCGGGTGCTGGATTATTCGGCGTTGTTTCCGTGGAACCTCAAGTACCGCCGGTGACACGAACGATCCAAAAGGTGAAAGTAATTAGCAGCGGTATCGAACCAGTCCCTCCTGCTCCATCTCTGCCTAGCGAGGCGAATGAAGTTACGGGTAAACTAGTATTTACATTTAAATATCAAGCTCATTACATTTTCTTGATTATTATAATAAATTTTGTGACGTAGCTTATAAATTATAACTAGTTGTTGATGACTTTGCAGATAATTTTCCTCGTCGAGTGAGAATTGGTCGCCCTATTAGGAAAAGGCTTTGGGGACCAAGGAAACAAATTATTTTTGATTATGGACCTGCAGTAGAGGCACAACCTACTGTTCATTCGGCTCAGAAGCGTCAGGCCACGAACGATGCTAGCAATACACCTTCGCCAAACAACCCGGCGTCACAAACTAGCAATACCAGTGGTTTCTTCGATGACATTTTCAACGTAAAACAAACAGAAAATTACTGAATTTTAATGTTTGAATATAGCCAGCCGTAAGGCTAATTAGACGTTACTTCTTCCAGATACCAATTTCAACGCTAAACGCTGTTAACCAGTTATTAACTAACAATTCCGGATAATGAGAGGGTTAAACGCGCCTTTCAGTTTTAGCTCTTAACGGATATTTCTTTTACTGTTTTACATAATGCGATATCTTCGTGGTAATGTACATTATGATCCATTAAGAGGAGTCTAAACAATTTTTTGTAAAATTGCACGAGAACTTTTATATTAAACAATTATAAATGGATCAAGTCTCTTTCTTTAATTTACACTGTTGAATTCAGCCTAAATTAATTTTTCAATTATTACACATATGAATTAAAGCAGCTTTTCCATCGCACGTGTCATATGCCTCTTATCAGCTAATGAGAAGTTTAAGTTGCAAGCGTAACTTTGCACTTTTGTAGAATAAAACGTAGTAATGGTATTGACATTGAAACCGAGTGACGTGTCGAGGAAAATCGATGGTAATTTGACTACTAGAGTGTTTATAATAAATACTGCAGATATTTTAATGTGATAAGAGGTATATAAACGAACGACGGGCTTAAAGTTAAATACAGTAGAAAAAACCAAGAGGATAGCTCTCCTGCTGGCAATACATCAGTAACGCATCATGGCAAATGTAAAACTTTTAACGCTCTTCATGCTCTTCGCATTTGTTGGGACATTTGCCAGTTCCTCAGCGGAGGAATTAAGGAGCCATGTCAGTCTAGAAGAAATCCGACAACCGCCCTATCTGGTGAAGAGAGCAGCTGACGATGGACCGGGCGAGGTAATGTTTCCCTTTCTAAAATGACAAATTCCGGGAACTATTCTTTCGTCTGTCGTCTATCTCATTCCTTCAACGACAATAAGTCATTATGTGTCATTGAAAAAAGTAGATTCATCTGTTCTGTATTTTTCATATACTTGAAAGAATTCAATTTTTGTATAAAAATAAAGATTCTTCGAAAGTCGTAGATTAGTCTGTGATATAATAACTATGAGAAGGAATTTTATTTGAATTTTCAAAATCTGATTGACGAACATGTAAATTATACTTTAGAAAATAGATCGCTTATTCATACCACCAAAATTTATTTCAAGCTAGCAAAGCAAGTGAATATAAAAAATTGTGTTAATTAGCGAAAGAAACATGAGTATCAGTAATTGCTATTCTGATCTTTTATAACTTGTACGTACATCGAACTGTACAATTCATTCAGTGTCAAAAAAATAATCACAGGTGTATAGAAGCGAACGGATTCGCAATTCGAGAAAAAAGTGTAAATGAACATCGCATTGTCACTACAACTTGTGTAATAAAAGATTCAAAATATATTGTAGGTCGCACCCGGAGGTGGTTCAGGGGAATCCGGAGAAGATACCAATAGTAAGTATTGTAATAAAAATCATAGAAATCATCTTAACAAGAATTATTCACGATAGTCAGCAAAATTATTTGCAACATTTTTAACCATCTTCACAATTATTTAACTAAACTTGACTAAAGAGTTCTTTCGAAATCTTTCCATATTCACATTTGATACATTGCATCCAATCGAAATCAGTAGAGTTGAAATATTCTCAGTTTTAAACTCTAAATTCGAGTGATAAAGATATTAATTACAAATTATGTTCCTTGGGACAGATGTAGCGGAAATACAGAATATAATAAAGAAGGTTACGACCATAATTGGAAATGTGTTGTCGTTAAACAATGTCGATAAAATACCTGCGCAGCTTCAGGATATCCTGAGCAGTGTTCAGAGCATATTGAACACACTCACAATTAGCAACCTCATAAGTCTACTTGTAAACAACGTAGACACCTTGAAGATGATACCAGTACTTGGATCCGTCATATCCACAGCGCAGCTTGTGATCAAAGTATTACAATCTATTCAGAATTAACTTTCGCGTATAACACAATTTTCCTAATACAGTTAGAAAAAGAAGAGAAGTATAGAGATATAGTAGATATAGTATAGAAAAGTATATTGTACAATTTGATCTATTCATTCTTAAGTGAAGATTTTCTTCTAATTCAAATCTGTTTTTTCAGGTAGTGTCGTCAGTTTATAGAAACGTATACCCAATAATAAAAGTACTGTTGGGTTCTGTAACCTCACTTCTGCCAGTACCATTATAACGTTGAGCTCAGAGGGGAATTAGAAAACTTTCTAATTGCAACCGTATCTAGAGCCCAATCATACAATGTTTAACAGCCCGAAATCATATGTGACGGTAAATTGTATAGCTATCCCATAATAAGTTCGACCAAAGAATAAATGCATCAATTATAAATAATTGCAAGCGTTCATTTTTGTCTTTCCCTTCTCACTCCCCAACCTCGAACTAAATTCTCTAATTATTTCTATCAATCCTCGATTCGGATCGAGAACGAACTTCCAAGAAAACAAGGCTTATACTGCGCTCGATTCGAGTAAGTCGATGTTAGCATCGCGAAGCAGAATCGAAAGAGAAAGTATCGTGTCGTAAGAGAGTAAGCCAAGTTTTATAACGGAGCGCAACGAAATTTCTTAGTCGCCGTGCGACTGCGATACAAAGAACAGTTCGTTCGATCAACTTTCTTCTTTGCGGTTCTCAATTCGGAACGTACGTTAGATCGAGATTTTAAGAGGAGAAATAATTCGGTATGTCTCGATGATAAGTAATTCTATCCAGAAATGTGCACGATGTTGTTATCCAGGAAAAAGAATAATTACGAAAGGAGAACGAATCTTTTTCGGAGAACGATGAAGAGTACGTACGGGCGAAGAGAAATTTCAGGACTGTGCATTCTGCTCTTTGTGTGTCGGTTCAATTCGTGCGGCGGCCTACCTGTGGAGCAGCCAACCACATTCACGTTGAACACCGGTAACACGCAGCCTCTATTCAACGAGCAAGTACGGGTGAGTGAAATTTGTTGAATGAATTCCTGAACCAAAGAGGGTAAACGACCGGATTTAGGTACAAACTGAATCTATATGAACTGCTAGTCAAAATCTTATCTTTAAAAGAATAAAAATTTTGGATAGCAGTTCTTAATTGATCATTCAAATCCTGAATGTTGCAAAAATCGGTAGGCATATTATAGTGGTAAGGAATAAACGATGTCAGGGAAGACGAAGAATTGGAGGTAAAGTTACAAAATTCTGTCCTGGCAGAGAAGGCGGGTCAAAATTGAGTCTCGGTTTTTGTAGGAATTTTTAGGACGTATCGCGGACGCGATTCGAATCGTCGCTGGGAGGCTCGTGAATTCCGTCACGTTGGCCAGAAACATCATAGCCGATCGGTGGGAGGTAATTGGCGCACTGAATTCATTAGTCATTCGATCTTCGTCTTCATTTTAGCTTTAGAAATAGATTTGAGAAATATCAACGAGCAGATCGATTCATCTGGCGATTTCGTAACTTTTATCCAGCACAAGGCTGCCTTTTTTTCCAATCACATGTGGTAATAATGAATAACCAACGAGCCTCGACGGGTGGTAAAAACATATCGCGTGTAAAAGTTTCCCGAGGTCAGGTCTTGTGCGAATACGTATTACGCATGAACCCACCGAATATTTACTTACTAAAAACGTTCACCTAACACTCATGCACACGTTCTACGACTAAATGACTGCAAATAAATATAGTAAACATCCCAATTTCTACTGAGTGTCTTGAGATTGCGTACAAAATAATAAAAAAGAAAGTCAGCAAAAATTGTGATATTTACTATACATATATCGGAATCGTGACAGGTTCTAACGCTGATTGATATTCGTGCAATAGAGTTCTAATTTAAACACTTCAAGAATCCTTGAATAGAATAGAATAAAACGTTAAGAAACATTTTTCGGAAGAATATCAATTAGCGTTGAACGTTGAAACAGTAATTGCGTACATTAAGGTGCATGTTCACCAAGTAGACAGCGGCCAGTGAATCGCGGAACAACGTGGCCACAGTAGTCGCGACCAGGTCTGTGGCCTTGAACCCGGGCGAGGTGTCCTTGTGGAGCACCCAGCATCCGCCAGTAACGAACACCCATGCGTACGCTCGGGAATCGGTTCGGCTGGAGAACGAGGCCGAGCAGGCGATCGCTGAACGGCCGATATCAAAGCCTTTTTCGGGATTCCTGGAATCCTTCGTGAATCCGACGCCGCTGGTAGATGGTATCAAGGAGCAGGAAAAGTATGGAAACTCTGGAGACAAGTTCATAGGAGTTGGAAGGGCGCTGGTCAGTGGCTACGAGGGACTGAGCAATTTTCTGAACGCCGTTGTTGACGTAAGTATCTTTACGAACAGCGTATCAGAATACTAGATTATGACAATTATTTCAACTATTTGAACTGACAATTGTTTCCAGTTTCCACGGAACACTTTCAGACAAAAATCCAGGGAACTCACAGAGGCGCTGAATCACGTTGGAGCTCGTTTGGTTGGACTTGAGTGACGCTTGTACTTACTGTAAATTATAGTTGACATATTCTATTTTATACTTTGCTTATTTGTTTGTTGTTTCCTTTGAAGAATTTTTTTTATTTTATATTAACTCATGTGATGAACGATGAGGAATAGAGAAACAGTTTGAAGAGTGTTCTCGCATAAATATATTATTTATTATCCGAACAATAATACGTAATTTGTTGGTTTTTAGCCAACATGATCTTTGCGATCTCGTAGCAAAGCTGCCTCCTTACACCGAGTATCCACCTGTGCAACATAAACATTCTACGTGTGTATTCTAAACGTGTTCAGTATATTTTCTCAATACCTCAAGTGCCATGCCACTCGAGACACATAAAAAAGACCCTTTCAAGTGGTTCTGAGCAGCCCCTTGCACAGGTATACAGCCGGTTTCTCAAAAGAGCAGGCGGCCACGTGCTACTATATTATTAACTACGAGATTAACTCTTCCTTTCCATCGTATTTAATACTACGCATTAAATTACAAAATAACTTTAACAGGTATTTAAAAGCTTGTAAAATGTACTGTATATTTTTGTTTAATTTTCAATAAAAAATAATAAGGGAAAGGAAGGATTGCATTGTACAATAGAAATGGTACTCGATCGGCTCTGCTGTGGATTTAAAGCTAACAAACTCCGGGAGTCGCGGTCCCCACGTGGAATGCAGGTCTGATCTTCAGCTATAAGTAAAAATACTTGTGCTCGCATTCGCACGACCAGGCATGCAACAAGCGAAAAGAAATAATAAGAGCCCCGTCGTGCGTAACGCAATTTTGGTATGCGCCGTGTGCGATAACGATATCTCTAGTAAATAAAATCGCATGCAAGATAACATACATAAATACGTTCGCGTTCTACGTTTAGAAATAAAACAGAATTTCCCTTTCATGACATTTAATCGCCGTGGCGGCAGTCGCTTTACTTCCGTGTCGTTTTTGCGGTAGTATTACTGTCTACGAATCCGAAGCTGTTTCGTTAAAAAGCTCTGACGAACGGAAGAAGAGTCATTTATCAAATTAACGAGCCGTTAGAGGTAATGGCCCGCGGTAAACGTCTCTAAAGCCGAGCTCGTTAATCATCTCGCTCCACTTTCTCGCTGATACGTGGCTAGATTTTTGCGATCTTCGCGGTGATCACTGGTGCTGCACAGACTCTACGAGAAAGAATTCGTTCGAATCGCGTAGCAGATAGAATTTGCAGGAAGCCGGGATCATCAATGATCGAAATCTTCTTTTAAGAATAAAGAAGATCGCGATCATCGTCGCTTGCAATTATCATCGGTTAGTTTTTGCTCTCGATGGACCTTAGACACTGGTCTCGTCTAAGATCCATCTGAAATTCTAGGTGTTCGCGGTGTCGTAACTCTTGTACGTGTGGGAGGACTTCTTGTGCCTCACTGTGCAGAACAGGATCATGCTCGCCACCTGACCGAACAGTTGTAGGAAAGCCACAACGAGGCCAACGATTCCGATGATGTGCAGCCTGGTGACAAGCCACATTTGTATGGCAGAGGCGCAGCCCTCTTTGTACCACAGTTCCTTGTTGCGCCCCTCGGGATCCTGTCGGCCGCAGTAACGAAACCTCTGCGAGCAGCAGGAATCTGGGACGCGATCCTGCATTGGCCAAGCGTCGATCCGGTACCAATCGGTATAATCTCGAACGCCGCAGCAGTGGAACTGAAATTCGATATGCGAAATCTCTTAATTAATATAAAATTTGAAATCTGAAAACAGTCGAATAATGATAAGAATAAAATAAATAATAAGCTAGAGGAACGTTTGTATTTTATATTGAAATATATATTTTATATTGAATATATTTTCATACTGAAATGTAGCTTACGTCTGTATGTATGTGGTCCCAGACGGCAGCAAGGGTTCCCGGTTCTCTAGTCGCGTTGTAATGTTTCTCGATACCGAACAGCAGCTCGTCCTTCAAGCTTTTAGCCAGATACTCCCTGAAGATGAAGGCCAGAGTGCCCAGCATGAATTCAGCCAGGAACATCAGTATAACTAATCCGAAGTACTGTAAACGGAGACGAGTTACGTAATGACAGAATCGAGCGAAGGTCGAACAGTCGAGGTAGAGCGTATTACCAACCGTGATCAGCATGCATCTGGATTGAAACCATGCACCGCAGCATCCGAAGAAGGCTACAACGAAGGTTAAACATCCAGCGCCTAACAGCAGCGAGTCAGCTGACGCGAAACTGTACTGAGGGACCAAGGTCGTGTATCCGGAGTACGCCAGTCGTAGCCAGAGGCCTGCACCCAAAATTCCACAAGCGCATAACTGTAAAGTAAATAAGATATGAGATTTACTGAGCACGTTTGTGAAACAACGTAAACAATTGAATTGTCTTTTATTGTCTTGAAAAAGTCACGAATTCTGTATATTACATTGTGAAAAGTTTCTATAACTGGACAGAGTTTAAAAATAAAATAATGGAACCTTTTCACAAAGAGGAAAACGGTGAAAATGTAAAAGTGGCGACCCACTTGGCAAATGCTCGATTCCACAATTTGAATGCACCATAGAACAATAGAAATTGTTTCTTAAAAAATGATTTGGGAAACAACACAAGTTTGATTGTTGAGACAGTCTCCCCTTGAGGATTCAGTGCACGCTTATGCACGCAACATGATCGCACTTCCGTATTAACATGTCGCCTTGCGAAACTTTTGCGAATACCGAGGTCGGTGGGTTCTGCACCTGTGACTCGACCTCTAATCGCGGTACGACTTTCAATCCCGAGTCACGCTAGACGCACTGAAAATAGGGACTCGATGAATTATGCAGGAGAGACGATTCGACTTGAGAATGTTGCCGAGAAACCGAATTTTTTTTCACCGTCTGGAAATAATAGCGAATGAAAAGTGGGCTATTCGTGGGAAAGCCTGGGGACATTGCAATTAAACAATGCAACGTTTGCTTTCATGGAGAAAGTCTAAAATACTAGTCGACTGTATCCTGAACTTTGGCTCCCAGATTCCGATTTTCGCCTTCGTTGCCGTTTATTATTATTTGTCACGCGGCAAGGAAATATCAATGCTCGACTTTCTTCGGGCATCAAGTAGAACTGGAAAGTCGTCTCGATTTACCTATTTCCTTCGCAGTTGGTGGTCGGTTGCATGGTTACCGTTTCAAAGGGGAAATCGTCGTCTCGGTTAAACGAAACAGAGTTTCTGGGTAAAGTTCCCGAGAGATGGCTAGATCAAATAGAAGGGATATTGACCTCTCTGCGGAGATTGTTGCGGTTTAATAATTTGCCGTCTTTCTGCTTTGTCCGACTACTCGTCGAGGCATGCGCTCATTATGTCTGCTACAATTGCACGACGATAAGAGTCAATTATTAGTACACTTTTCGACAGAGTGGACCTACTGTTCTTTCTTATACTCTCTCGAGACGATGTAAATTAGCGCGAACATGATAACGACAGGTCGCGTTATCCAATCCGGTCGAACTAGTTCGAATGGAATAATTTATGCGGGCCGCTCGGTCACGGTTTATCGACGGGAAGCATCGTAACCGCGAGGAATGAATGAAACGACCGAAAGAACCAGTCAGTCGACGATTAAACGAACCCGCTCGTTAAACTCGCGCTCGATTTAAACCAAGTACCGTTAAACGTCTCTTGAAAGATCGCATAAAACTAGAAGCTGATGTCTTGAAGCCAATCTGGCCGCGCAATTAAAGGCGCCATTTAATTAGGCTTGTAGAAAATTATCCGTCTCCCTTTTTCTCCCTAAGCAAATTAAGATACACTCTCACTGTGCAACGTATTCGCATCTGAATGGACTTTTAAAATATTTATTTCATTAAATTTTAGAATTACAATGCAGGTAATTAATCAAGATTAAGTAAATCGTTTAATCAAGAGGCGTCGAGTAAATTTGCATGCAGATCGTAAGAAAGGCGGGAGAGAACACCTGCTGAAAAGATTTCCAAGGAAAAGTCTGCGAGTACCGTAAGTTCACAGCTCATAGAGCACGGTTCAACGTCCTATTTAAAGAGCGGTGACGAGCGGATTTCAAGTGGCACTATAAATTCGCCGGGAAGAGAGACAGCGGAATGCGCCGATGCTAGGACGACAATGCGCGCCGATTTAAATGCGCGTGCCGCGTGGGCGAGTTATCCGCGCTGCGCATTGATGGAAATTAACTTTGGATTTACTTCGTGCGCTTCGCGACGCGGTTACGGTAGTTACGCGTCCGTACGGCTGTTTTTAGTATTCGCGTGCCGTGTCATCAGAAACGCGGGCATAATATTTATTTTTAATTGCGCAGAAGCTCGCATTACCGTCGATGATGAAACGATTGCGTATGACAATTAGTATGTTTAGTAACGCATTGTCAACGACGAGGTAGCTGTAAACGGCATTCTCAACTCTCAATAACATTTATTTGCATTTCTACATAGAATTTCTATATTCCTGTTTATATGATTTGAACTAAAAATTATTTAATGAATAATGAGTATGAAAAACGTACAAAGGTAGTAAAATAAGGAGTGGTTAAGAAGCGTTTAAAGAACAATTCACAGGAAATGTACCTTACCCAAATAAGAACGTTGAGGGAGCAGAAGACGTGCCTGATGCACGTGTATCCTGTGCGGCCCATGGCTGGATTACCCGTAGGACGTTAACGTCAAAGGGACTGGCAGTGTTTCCTGGAAACACACGAAAAACGCGATGATTCCTCGAGTCTCACCTTTACCACGCCGCTCGCACCTGTCCCTCAGATGTGTCATCGGACGCACAAGCTCGCGCTGCTTTTTAACACGACGCTTTATCTTCATGAATTTTAATTGGCTTACGCACCGAGTTCGTTAGCACTCGTATTTACCGCTCGTTAACCACGCTCCGGATAACTTTCGCTTTTTATACTCGCGTGAGGCACGACCGATTCGGTCGTCGTGGCGAAAGCACGCTATTCGATCCGAAATTGGATAGATTTTTGAATAAACAATGAACGTGCCTATCGGGAACTACGCATTATTTTAAATTACCAGGGAATGAACTATGGAATCTGAGAGCGAGGAGCAATAAAAGGGATAAAGGAGAGGCAACGTGGGAGATGAAGATAAAGCCTTGAAACCGATGATTACGTATTCCATTGGTAGGGTCTGTCGACGGGTATTTCTATTCCCTTGGGGAACGACGATTTCGGGTCACGGAGCACAGAGAACCGAACAAAAGAACCGCGGAATGCAAACTTACAATCGACTTGGAAAGTCGTTGTCTTCATCGTCGTTGCAGCGAAACGGTGATTCAACCTTTCCGCGCACTAGTCCAGTTCATCTGTCATAATGAATATACGATACAAGAGAGAGCACGACGCGAGAGTTTGACGAATGAATCGTAACCGGTTGACTGACGGGGCCGGCGGGCGATCCTCGTCGGACGAGGATCCGTTCCGGTGTGCTCTCGGAATCAGGTTGAGGTACGATTGGCTGTGGCCCCTTCTGGGCCTTCTAGGTCCCCTAACGGGACACCCAGCCGGCAAAACGGGGGGCCTCTCACCTATACGCGATCTCGATCGCGATGCGATGAATCCGAGGAAGCCGTCTATTGAAAAGGCGTTGCACCGCTCGGAGACGCGTCACTTTCCTACGAATCGCCTGCCAAGCCATGATCGCAAGGTCGCAGGAAATCTGCGATCACGCTTTTCCCTCGGTCACGTGTTCAGTGCACGCGACTCTTCGAGTATATATTTGCGTAAACATTATCGCCTTGTACACTCTATGTATTGTACATACTTACATTCCCGTTTATAAGTCTTACTTAGAGTACTTGGATACTCTTTTCATTGAAAAAATCCAACATGATATAAAAATACAATAGTATAGTAAATCATATAATAAATCAGCAAATCATTAAATTCATGAATCTACAAAAAGTTGGGAATCTCAGAATTATTATCAGCTTTAAGTAAGTCCTGCATGCATGTATCGTAAGGAACCCTTTCTTCTCTAGAATTGTAGAGGCAAGAGATTTTACAGGCCACGATATCGAGAGCCAGAATCTCGGGAAAGAGTGCGCCGTGTCCGATAAATTTTTTCCATGCATAAAACATCGCGAGTGCATGTTAAATAATAGAACCACTGGCGCGCAGCCAACCACTGAATAAAAGATCCGTCTGTACGATTTTCCCTCTCAACGCGTCGTTCCAATTAATCGCTTAATTTTTCTGACAATCATTTGTTGTACGTAAACCGATTCAAATCATTCCAGGTGAATGCATATTTATTTCATAATCAGTAAAATGTGAATTCTTGTGCAAATTGGGAACATCGTATTCGTCTACTAAAAATTCATGTTAGCAGACTCGACGGATGTAAATTTCTCGACGGAACACGTCCAACCGCGAGTTATGAACGTTTCTTTGAACAGGTGAAGCGCGAAAAGAAATAAAACCGAGGACGGGTGTGCAACGTTTTCAACTGTAAGAGTTACTTAAATAACGCGTGAAATAGGATCGTGACGCGTTGTTTGTCGAGGAAGAAACGTGTGATTTATGTTCACCGATGATGGAATGTATTTCTCGTCACGGCACCCCCTAAGAATATTTCTACTTGAAAGGATTCCATTTTACTTTATTTCCACGTTTAGCGATGAAAAATATTCCTACGTCTAGGGTCCAATCCGAAAGCTGTTATCAAGATTGGACAATATTGATTCACCTTATCGCTTAACTGAACGCAACCCACAGTACCACTTATTGCGAATCGTGCTCGTTAAACAAACTTAAGCTGAAAACGTGCTCCGAGTCCCGCAGAACTCGTCACGATAAATAAGTTCCATACTTCCCGCCTGTTGCATGGAAAACCATTATTCTTATAAGTCTTTTCCTGCTGCCTTGCGTAACAGCTATTAGATCATTTTAAATGCTCGTCATTTGTAAGCTGACGTATTCATCTGACGAAGAATCTAACATTACAATTAGTATTCTGCGAGCTACTCGATTCAGTCAAAGTAATAAAATTAAACGAACGACTGTTTAAAATTATTGCTACTCTAGTTAAAGTGATACTAAATCCTACATAATTAGAGAAAAAATCATCAAGCCGAAGATAACAGTTTTAGTCAGGTGAACGTGAAGGTGGCTGAAGGCTGGAATCGAACCGGGTTAATCGTAAGTACTTGAAATCAATTCGTGCGATAGCGAAATGGAACCGCAAACGCGGCGGTTGCGGCTAATGAACGGCGAAGAGAGTACGAGGGGGCGTAGAAACGGTCCCCCTTCGCCACGACTTCCTGCCAATTGCGGGCAATTTGCGATCATCTATGATCCTCTCTCGCCGCTCGCCACGTCACGTCAACCCGACCGGCCGCGGCACGTTTCTCTGCGTTTCGGTGTTTCCAGTGTTAACGTTAACGCGGTTCTTTTTACTCCCTCGTTCTCGCCTGATACCACGACGTTCCGTCGCGACGGCTATTCGCGACCTACGCGGCTCGCTTCCCACGTGATGTAACCGAAGAAAGGAATTACGATGCGTACCGCTCCTCTATCGTCCATTATATCTCCCCGTGTATCATCTCGATAGTATCAAACGTAATTACGGCACCACTTGCATGGTTTTACAGGAATTTACGTCTTTTCAATCAGTGTTGCATAAGTTTAAACAAATATAAGGAAACAAATATAAGGAATGAGATAATTACTAATTTTACACGGTCATTATAATGATAAGTAATTGTATTTACTGAACGATAACGGATCACACTTTTCCTCGAAGCGGCGAAGTCTTTAATCCCGTGTTCCCACGCGTAATCCCGCGATGGAAAAGCCAATCACGTACGCCGCAGGGGGATTAAGGGTGGCAAAAGGGTGACGGGCCTTTGTCCGATCACCCGTTATACCACGTGGGAGTAGAAGCGTACACGCATATCGTCTCGCGATTAACAAGCGCATTGTAATAAATTAGGAATTATGACGCTGCTCCCTCGGCCCTCATCCTTTCCCTTATAATTGACGACCCGTGTCTTTTCAAGAGTCTCTCTATGTATAACGACGTTCAAAGTGTAACTTCAAGTATATTTTAATTAATTAATATTTAAGCATAGTTACTGTACGATCCTCAAATAAAGTTTAATTAATTAATTGAAACAGTATCTCGTGTTCAGAGGAACGAACTCTATTGTTCCCGCGCCAATCGACGAGTCGAAAGTTTCGGCGATTATGAACGAAAATAGCAAAAATTTCCCATGGGAGAGCCGAGAAAATGGATGAGCTAGCTGTTAAAAAAAGAGTCCTCTGACGATTGTTTCCACGACAAGGAACATGGGAAGAGAAATCAACGTTCGGCCGGTTCGCACGATCAACGCGATCGTATATCGCCCGCGGATTATCGGACCGGTATACCGCGATACTGCGACGTTTAATTAATGTTTCCAATCCCCCTTCGAACGCTAGGAGGTGGTCCTTGATCCAGAAATCTATTCTAATCTGGGACCATTAAAAAGCTCGTGGTTAACAGCTATCAGGGTTCCTGGTTAATGATTTATTAGTCTGGTGTTTATGAATGTTATCTTCAAGATTAACGGTTTCAAATTAGCTCCTGCAGGACAGCATGTAAAGCATTGAAATATATGATCAAGTAATTTTATTTCTACTTGATATTCCAGATGTGTTGAAGTCGTTTCAATTATCATACTAGGTGAAGAGTATAGTAATATATTCTAATGAAATTACAATATCTTTGATGTTACATTAAATTATATCATTTTTATTCATAAATGGAAATAATGAGACAAATTATTGATAATGTTTGTATAAATATATAACAGCAGAAATTAGAATATGGATCTGACATTTATCAAACGGTTGAGGACAGGTTCAGGTCGTGTTCTATGAATATCAGGTAGCCCTATAATGGAGGAAGATTGTTTCTCATGCGGTATCGCGGGAGAAACATTGGGAACAGGGTTACGACGAGACCAGTGTCATTGGACAGTTCGCATTAGCTCGATTATGAGATTCGTTTATAATCATTATTATGTAATGCCCCGGTCCCGATTGCCTTACGTAACCGAAACAACGGTGCGACCAGTGCTACCCATAAAAACACTCCTTCCGTTGCAGCGAACCGTTATTAGGAAAAAAGGTGATAAAATATGGTTCGAACGGACCGTAAATCATTGCGCTGGAAGCATTGATGCAAAAATTCGAATCACTGAGATGCCAGAGTCGGTTGGCAAAAAATTAATTCTTCTCGTCGTCGTGGGTTTAAAAGCGTTTCTTATCTAATGGAGACACCCGCGACACGAAACTGCCTGCTAATTTATTCGACGCGAAACTGCACTTATCAACCGGTTGCAACTTGAAAACTACAATTTCACAAAAGTTTCTATGGACGAAGGCGGTTTTCTTTCTAAAAAAAACGAGTAACGCAATGAGGAACAATGGAAAATCTGCGTAGGTATTTTCTCGATGCGTATTACGCAAATGTATCCAGTCTTTTAAAGTGTAGAGCGTAATGAAAGGCAGAGGCACCTTTTTAGATTGGACGCTCAGGAATCAATGGGACTCGTTAAACGGGGAATAAAAATGTGGACCATGGCGATAACGCTTTACGATCATGGCGCGATCATTCATTAGCCAGCGTTGACGATTGCGTTAACTAATTTCTGCTCGCATCGCAGAATTCTGAAAAACGATACGCCCGTTCGCGGTCACGATCCCAACGCTTGATAATCAAGAATAGAACTGTCATTTCGTAACGATAAGGCTAAAGTCGCGCTAAAGTCACGTCTTCTTTTTTTACGTCCAAGCCTATTTAGAAATGTCACAGAAAATGAATGAAACACAGATCGTAACTTGTATTATTATAAAACTGTAATGAATATTCATGCTATCTCATCTGTTAAAGTATAGATTACTATAGCTGTAGTTCAATTTTCCACAATTTCGCGAAATGAATCGCATTGGACTTTTTCTATACGTTCAAATGCGCGAGAAATTCAAAAAGGCGGAAGCGTCGATAACCGGAAGGCGATGTTTTGAAACGTAAGTAAGTACACTTACAAGTGGGATGAAAACGAGAACGGGCCGGTGCGGCGTCGTTGTTATGGTGAGCTGTCACGAGCTCTTCGACACTAAATGAATCACGATGGTTCATGGAAACCGCGGAGTCAAGGATCGGCTGCGTTTCGCGATGGGTTTCGTGTTCGCGGATCGACTGCTCGCGGTTACCGCGAACAACTCTCGTACATCGTACGCCAAGTAGTAACATCCGTTCTCCAGCAGCCTGGCAACGGTGAACTGGAAGTCGCCATCTGACGGAGAAATTTAAGGCCGCCGGGACAAAATTAACGACGATGTATTTTAANTTTTGGGATTGACTGTATAGCCAATACATCCTTACTGAGAAAAGATGATATTGATGTTATAAAGGAACAAAATAAAAATATTTATCCATTCGTTTATTAACTTCCAAAACTGAATTAATTATGATTTAAAATAAATCTCTGAATATTAAATATAATGTAATTTTCTTTTATAGCACAATTTTAAAGTAGAGCACAGTATGGGAAAGGCATGACTCTGGCTTTAATTCGTACTAAAAGTCATTTAGGGAAATATTCATACAGGAAGTAAAATTTGACCGAACTTAACATCAAGTCCATTATTAATGTGACGGCACAGGAAACACTCATCGACAGTATTGTATTTAAAAGACTTTAATTACTAACACAGCAAATCGAACAAAACGTATGATTTAAGTACAAAAATGAGATCGCAGTCAATTCTGTTTCTTATACTTCTGCGAGGATTCTTCCATAGAATCGAGCCAATGTTTCAAATCCTTAGGAACTTCGGGTAGCTTCGCATTTGGATCGAGTTCGGCGATTATCTCTGCAGCAGTGACTTTCAAGTTTGTAATCGTTTGTCTACTAAGCACGACCGCGCGAACAAAATTATCCGTCAAAGTGATAAACTCGTGCTCCATGTAAAAGTGTTTATCTTCCCAATAAATTAACTGCAGAAAGAAAGTTTGTTATTAACCCAAAGTCGATCGTGCATAATTAGTCGTCAGACTACAGACTTATAAGGAAATTATGTTCCTATACATATGCAACATACATATACTATGCATATGTATACATGACTACGCTGCGACGTATGCTAATCAATCTTAACACCTCGTTTTTATCGAGTGCTTCTAGGAAAATTCGCAAATAAGTCGACTGACCATTAAAACGCGAAGTAGACAAATACAAAAAATTCGCGAAAAGGTTGACTGATTATTAAAACGCGAACTATACAAATACAAGAAAATTCGCTTGTTACCTTCGTGGTCACTTTATAGAGCGTAAAAATGGGAAGAGCACGGCGATATCGAGTCGACGATGCGCCTTGTACTGCACCGCCTCCTTTTTTCGCTATACATGAGTAAATTCCAGTTCGGTCGTAAAAGTGGAATCGTGCGAAATCCAAATCTCGCAGATACCTCGCATTGTTCATGTGTTTTAAAAACAAGTCGACGTCTTGCGTAGTGCATAATCCTGAAAGAACGAATTATCACTCTCATAACATTTATTCTGATTACACTGACCAATCATAAATGCCGTGCGAAGCGTAAGAGGGTCATGTGCTTCCGGTTGCAGCGACATACAAATAATACTTAAAATTCTTTTCCCAAGCGCGTCGCGTGAAATCAGTTCAAACATTTTTGCGCGCTGACCTCTTTAAATTTTTCCACGCACTTGGCTTGTAAAATTCTAATCCGTTCATTTTATATATTGAATTTCATAAGGAATACATCTTATCAATGACGAAGTCAAAAAAGCCAATCGATATCTTGATCACTGATTAAATCCATAAAGACTTTAGATTCGTGACCAAAAAGAATCCAGCACAGTGTTGTATGAAATTATGGTGTAAGATTATACTTATAAATAAGATTGTGACTATTATAAGTAGAGAAATGTGAAGATATGGGAAGAGGCTTTAAATACGTGATTGTTACCATAGATAGTAGTCGTGTTGAAAATCCTCTTCTTCTTCTGGAACAGCCTGCCGGTGCCGATCGTGAAGATAATGCGGATAAAGTAATTCACGTCGAAGAATATGTAGAGCGCAAGGAGGATCGTGAGGAGGCAGGCGCACACCATTTTTATGTTTACAGAATGAAGAATACGGGGAGCGGGAATAAGTAGGCGCCCGATGTACAGGAGGCCGCAGCCTGAAGAAGACTGAGCGCGCAGTTACCGTGAAACACTGAATAGCGAGGTCGCTTCTTACCAGTTGAACGGTAACGCAACCGGTTCCTTGTGACGTCCAACGGTGCTATCAACGCGTGTAGAGAACTATGCACTCCGGTGGTTGAGCCGCGACTGCTCAACGAAATTCTATTCTTGACACAAATAAATTATCATACGTATTAATCCAGTACGTGACGAATTAAAAGTCATTTAATCCAATTTATGTAGTCCGTGAATCCCTAAACGCGACCTTAGTAAAATACGAGGTATCAAGGAATCATACAACCGTTTTAAAAAATCTAATATTATGTTCTTATTTCAAGTGCGCCTGGCATACATAGGTATAAAAAAATTACAATGGCAACGAAATGGACTTAAGAATTTAAGGATAGACTGTTGTCTGTTACCGTGAAAAATTCGCGAGCGTATGTCAATGATTGCAGACATGAGATGTTAACTCGAACGTAGCACGCGTAACGGAGACAGATCGTTGTCGACGAGAGGCCGTGTATTCTAATCGATGTTGCGTTCAATTCAACCTTCAGTTAATGAGATAGCATTGAAACGACAACTAAAAAGTAGAATCTCCCAAAGAAATGTGGCTCAACAATTTTTTTCATTCAAGAAGAGTATCAATCAAATTCTTGTAGATTACAAGATTGAATATCATGTTCAATTTATTCAACGAAAATGAAAAAACATATATTTTACTAACAGGCGTAAAAATTCAGCTTGCGTAGGCTGTTTAAAAATGTTTGCAAAAGATTAATACATGAATCTCATGTAATTTTATTTTACTTCTTTTTGTCTGGAATCAAGAAGTTAGGAATGGTCGACATTGAACAATGTCCAATTGATGTTCTTCTCTTTCCACATTAATCGAAGGGTAAGACAGCACGTAAGGCATTTGAAAATATAATTTGGGTGACATAAATCATGAGAAAATCTGTTATGCATAAGCAGAATGTGAACTTAAAAGGCGCGACGCGACGTCATTCAGTGAAATTTAAATAAAAATCGTCACGTTTTTATATTTGTAGTATCGAACGATTGTTGCAGGTTGTAAAAAAAAAACGAGTAAACGATCCGGTATAAGTCGATTCGAAATAAATGTTGGTAATCTAGAGGACATTTATTTTCTCATCCTGGACAGTATCGTCGAACGACATGGTTTTCAACATAGTATTATTTCGACAAGAGCGACGTTATTACTATCTAAAGATATAGAACAACGTCTTAACGTGCGTAATGCTATTTTAAACTGTACGAGACTCGCTAAGCCACGTCGTCGGCTACTTTTATATGACCAAACTACGATTTATCAATTTACTTTGGAAATTCAAGTGGAGTACACGTTATTAAGGATTATCCCACGCGAGTGGCATCGGTAACGAGCATATAGCGTTTAAAAAAAATCGATCACACACGAATTACGTCGTATACATATCTCCAACTGATAATTGCCGGAAGCCCCTTGGTAGAAACGTAATCAGGATAAAAAACAGATTTAAAATCACCACTCGTATTTAATACAGGAACTAGTAAATAAAATGTACTTTCAATAATTGATGAGCTCAATCATTATCATTTGAATGTCCATACGTATGAAAAAAAAATTGTGCAACGTGTTATCGAAGTTAATCGAAATCGATGAAGACAGTTCGTCCGACTTCCTCCCGTGAGAAACATTACGGTTACCGAGACCAGTCGCCAAAGAATTTAAATATATGTATATAATATATATATAATCTATAATAAAAAATGTAAATAACGCCTCTTGCATCTCGCAATTACTTTCAACGGCGAACATTCAACAATCACGAGTCCATTCTCACTAGTTTCGGAAGCTTCTTTGGAGTAAACTGTCGACAGTCACCTCGTGGCGCTTTGCTCCACGGCAGGTTCTTCTCACTAGCCATTCCGAAATTCTTAGAATTCGTCGACGTATCGAATAATAGGTTTCCCAGATCCGTCTGATAACCACGCGAACACTGTTACATTAGTAAAATAGTCTTTCACGTATCTATCTAGCGTTTGTACTCTAGATCCCTATTTCACATCCGTAACCATCGAGTCCATATGAAAAAGCCCGAACCGTGCCTTATAAATAATAAGTATGTTTACGCTTGCGAGACACGCAGTGAGTAACATTGAATCAATTTCTAGGCACGCGGACATTCAACTTTCGAGCACCGTGGGCGATCGACCGTTCACCCTTAATCCTTGACTCGACCGCCTCGTCGTCCTTCCAGTTTTATAAATGCTTCAAACTTAACATATCCCCCTTAAAATTGTTCACCCAATAAATTGATTCGAAGCTATCACGTATGTCCCGTTCGAGACAAGAAACGACGACGAAAGGATGTCACGATCTAAAGCGAGATTAGCGATCGAAGTCATCGACCTTAGACAGTCGTAGTTGCGTAGACGGAAGTAGAATCGACGACGCCATTCGCCGTGGACGCCGCATCCTCCTTTTGTCAGCAACGCGTCGACTCCGACGGGCTTTGACGAAGAAGCGCCGACGAGATCTCGTTGCTCTCCAACCACCTGGCAACCTCCGGTGGTATCTGCGGCCTTACGTGAGGTATCTGTAATTGCGTTCACTTTCAGAAACCTCCGAGCGACTCATTCGTCGTTGCTTAAAACAATGTGATCGAAATACAAACTTCTTATACAGTCTAAACATCCCTTGACGGTCTTAATTAATACTTACCAACGAAATAAAAAAACGAGTACAAACTCATACATTGTGTTAATCTTTTTTAACTTTTTTCCTTCCTTGTGCAAAAAGATTCAGTACATAATGATCTTTTTCAGATTTGCATTAATATCAAAAGCGATATTCACATATCATTCAGTCTGTTAAGAACTAGTGGAGTTCGTACGGCGTTTTCAATTATATCCCTTTAAAATGCTCTGTTTGCTCGTGCAAAAATAGAATGAAGTATGCTTGACTTACCTGCGTTACACCTGCCTCAACGCTACCATTCTGCTTGACGCCGCGTTCCATGAGAGAACCGATCACGGCCTCGGCGCTACAGTCCAAAAGCCTTTGTCTGCAAATCGCGATGGCCCTGACGAACCCATCGCCGGGTGTGATGAACCGATGCTCCATGAACACGGACTTCTCATCCCAATATATTATCTGCGAGGACACAATTCCACGAAATTATCGTACGAACGCGGAATTGCACGGCGAGTTAACGAGCGGGGCATTTACGGCTGACCCCTCGAAATGAAAAAGCGAGAATCAGTCCTTTTTCTTTTTTATAGTTGTTATTCCGCTTGTGCACCGCGATAAAACCGTCAGCGGGAGTACATTTTCGATACGATGCGTCATACGACCACCGGAGTGCATACGAAACCGTACAAGCCGCGAAACAATTGGACAAGCGAAAATATATACATCGCACCGGCTACAATTGCCTCACCGATTTTACACTGGCAAGAGTCAACAAATCCGTCTCCTTCCCGTTCCTATCGGTTTACCGAGATGTTAACAATTTACCGAGATGTTGAGCGAGTGTTAATAATGGAACACTGAAGTTATTATCATTTCCATAGAACTCTTGTGACGATCGGAATACGAAGAAAATCAATTTTAAAAAATCCGATTTTATTTAACGATATTTACGAGGATTGATTCCTTGATATATCTGTTACGTCAAGCAGTGAACAGACTGAATTTAATTATGTAGTTTTATTATCAGCCTGTATGCATACCTTCGAAGTTATTTTGTAGATAGACAAAGGTTTTACGAAACGGCGATAACGGATGGTCGCCGCGCCTTGGACGACTCCTTTCCCTTGTGAACAAATTTCCCGATATAGGTTCGTCCTTTCGTAGAAATCCGCTCTGGCGAAATCAAGTTCGCGAAGATACCTCGCGTTGTTCATGTGATAAAGCAACGTATCCACGTCCGTGGTGGTGCAAATGCCTGGAAACCAGACAAATATCAGCGACGACCATAAGAACGCGCATAAAATTAGGCAAATAACGTATACACGTTGCTTCTCGCATCTGTCATCGGGGATTCCATGCAAGACAGGGATAAACAAGAATTCCCGAAGGTCGATCGCGGATAGACTTTTACAAGCATGATTTCCGCTTTGGATTGGCTCCTTCATCTTTGATCATCGCAATGGAAGAAGCGTCTCGGGTTTACATGACGTAGCAGTTACGAAACGATCATTTATTCCGGTTTTCGATCGGAGGCGAAGGAATCGGGGCCACGTACAGTCTTCCAAAATGTTAACGTAACCGCGCGCCACACCTTCGACTCGTGGGCACGGGTCGTTAACGCGGCTTCAAAAAAAACTTAAACGCGGACCGACATCGAAAGAATTGTCGCTTAAGAATACTGTGAAGAAGATAAACCAGCTGAGTAAATCTGCTAACGAGGAAAACTGATAAATAAAAGATTACCGTCCGCATTGGAATATTCAGGCATACTAAGTACTTTTCAATTGGTCGTCCCTCACGGAATCGACGATATCTCGTCTTCTCGCGAGTACACAAGAATCAGGAGATGATCCGCGACATGAATAAAGTTACCGCGATTCAAAACAGCTGGGATCTGCATTGTTTGTGTCACCGTCAGTCCAGTTTTGGCACCCGGTGCCGTGCAATCAATACCCGCGCGGATTTGCGACACGGGCAAACCTGGTCAGGCAACCGATTCGCGCACGTTAGGTCAAGGTTTCCCGGTATAAGTCGGTAGATATTGTAAGGATTCTAGTCTTACGTAGCGACAGGTGCACGTGATATGCATTTTCATGGAATCTCCGCGCTGTTTAGCAACGTTCACGTGATAACGATTAAATGCGAAACACCACAGAGCTCGATGGCTCGACAATTTCTGTTCCGAGTAACTAGAATTGTCGCTTTTCATTTTGAAAGTACCAACATACCGAAGACAGTGGTCTCGTCGAGGATGTGGACCTTCTTCTTGCAGAAACGCGCCAGAAACACGGTGAGGAACATGCGCAGGAAGTAGTGGATCTCGATTAGACCGTAGAGCAACACAACGGCACCGAACACACCGGCCAGCACCCAGCAGGTTATCATGTTGACGCGATCGTCCTGTGTTCGGCCTTGAATTGAACCGGCGACGAGAGGAGGGCTGTTCCTCGGACAGTTGTCAGGCTTTGGAATTTCTCCACCGTCGGGAACTCCACTCTATCGATCTTCTCGTCGAGGCTGATGTTTCCTGGCTCGCTACACGCCGATGAAATGCCGTGCTGCTTCACTGGCATGACAAAGGATCCTGGATGCAGAGTCGATGACGGTGCACGACGGACAGACGCATTTTTAGACGCTTTCGGTCACGTCTGACGGCACTCGAGTCCGTCGAGAGACAACGTCTGTTCACTTTTATTACACGGGTAACGTTGCGAATCTGAAAACGAGAGAAGGAAAAACGTTTGAGTGTGCGAGGCATACATTGTTAAAACCCGTCGTTTTCACACAAAGTGTCTGTATTCGTGCTTTTCATTTTAATATAACGCACACAGGCACGCATGCACGCTGGAAAAATTCCACTTGAGACGCCCGATGCTTTTAACGCGGTGGTCAAAGCGCAAAGCGCGAGATAACATCAACGTTAGGCAGGTGGAATCTGTTTTGCATTGATTGCGGAAATCGGCGGTGGCTGAGCTCGCGCGTGAATCACGTCGGAAACGAATGATCATCGCCTAAGTTTCGGAAAACGATGATCAATTGCTGCTAATGGGCAACGCAAATACCGCGGTTTCGCATACATTGTACACCTGCCAACTGGCAGCCGGTCATTAGCGACACATTGAAAATAAGTAACGATGCGGTGTCTCCCGATCATCGATGATCAGGTACAATAAATAGAACGGTGGTCAACCGGATTAGAGGAACGACATTTTTCTGTCACTGACGTAATCGTTCAGTCGTGGGATTTTTTATAACACGATTTGGACGATCAAAAATTTCCAGCGAAAGCCGCTTTCGATGCGTACTTTCCCTCTCGCGCGAGGTTGCACCATTCTTAACCGGAGCACGTTCCTGCTGACCGTGTCGCGTTCTTCCAAAAAATCAGCCCATCGGACCGGGCAGACAGGACACTGCGACACCGTCGATTCGCAATGCGACACTGCGTCCTGCCTCCTCGAATCGAAACCAGCTCTTTCGAGCGACAGGTGTTTCATTATCGCGAAACACGGATCAAAAGATCAATTGGCCTGAGCCTTGATTATTTCAAACTCATTGAGCTTTGCAAATCTCAAACTAAGAGTAGAAAATCAATAATAGAGAAGCTGCGTCGTGCACGCTCGATGATGTAACGAACTGTTTTGAGAGGAAACTTGTCGGATAGGGGCGGATGAGTCTCTGTTCTCCTGACGAACCGAACGTTCACCGAGTGGGACCGCACCTTTAAGCTCCCGACGAGCTTGCAGATCGATCAGCCCGTACCTACCTAAAGGGTCCGTCAGCTGGAAATAGCGTCTCTGTGCCCGACTGTTCGCCGCGGCCGCAGTAGCACGCATCTGCACATGCACTCGAGAACACCGCGCACGCATATACACGGGACACGGGCACGGTACAGCTCTTTTAAGAGGCGGCAGGGCTACGAGGTATCCGTTCGTAGCGACATCATCCCACGGACTGATCGGATCGACACGGGCAGTCCGGGTTCGCTTGACGTCGTCGCCGTCGCCGTCGCCGTTACCACAGCGGGCGTCGGGACGCCCCTTTCCAGATATCGCATCTGCGCCGAGGACGCCCAAACCATGAACCCGGTTCCTAGTGGGAGGCGAAGCCTCGCCGCGCCGACATTGACGTCAAAAATCCTTGTCTTTCTTAATGGGAAAACCAGCGGCACCGAGCTCCGATCGTAGCCGCTTCGGGGGGAAAGGCGACGACGCCGCATGCAGCCCAGCCGGCCGCGAACGATTTTTTAACTTCCTCATCTTCGCCGTGGGGGTATTGGACAAGAAAATATTGATGCGTTCTCGACTTATTTGGTAGGATGACGTTTTGCCTGGATAGAAAAAACGTACATCCGATTGGAAATCGATCGTTTAAAGGGATATTGCGTAATATTCAGAAGTGTGATAGATTGCAAACATAGTTTCTTTAAAAACTATCTGGAAAACCAGTCTAATGGAACAAAAAAGTATTTAAAACTGCAATAAACGTAATAATAATAGTTGTAATCCAGTTTTTATTAACTTTTTCTATCGTATGCACTGTGCAAATTTGTTTTTTATGATCCAATTATTTAGATTGCAGAGTATAACAATTTTATATAATGACAACATTTTCATACTTGACTAAATAGTGACATAAATAGAATATGCGGTTTAAGTATCACCATGCGTTTCCGAACTCTTGTGATCTAAAGGACAGTTATTTAAAATTGTTTCATATCTTCGTTAAATAATATAAAGAGTTGCTAATCTTGTTTGTTCGCTCACTTTACGAAACACGTACATGGTTTGTGTAATTGTTACAACGGAGAAGAACAAGCAAAAGATCGTTAAACGTTGTTTGAAGGCGCGGCATGCGCGAACGATACGAAGCGACGCCACACATACACACACAGTCATCGGGAAGGTGCTGGCCAGGAAACGCTTTCTTGCTGATGTTTTATGGAAAACGCGTGATTCGCGAGCAACCGACCACGAAATCGATGTAATAGAAAAATAAGTCACGCGTCGCGTGAGAATTTCGAGGCATCTTGAAGTTTCTATTGGTCTACCGGAAGTACCGAAGGGCCACCGTACGTGCCGATTTTAAATAGTACAAGAATAAATCAAAATACTTCCGGGAATATACATGTCAAAAACTAACATTTATTGTAAAAAAAAATCACATACACAGTACGTTGCACTTTATGACATTTTAAAAATATAAACGGACATAATCGCGAATATAATTCTTTCAACCCAGATCGATTATTATTAGCTAGAGAAAAATTCAGTAACAAATGGTCTGTCTCCGCTTTCGTACGGAGTTAGAGGTAGATCGTATGGAATGGGAAAGACCGGAACCTCTTCCTCTTCCTGAATAGGGAATGTTGACTTTTTGATCTGCAAACAAAATATACGTCCTTATTCGTAAAACATAAATATACATATATGCGTGCATACGTGACGCTATTTATACGTACAATGAATTTTGGAATAAATACAACGCCTGCTTCATAATTCATAATGTAATGAGAGTCCTTTCCGACCGTCCCCCACGCGGCTTTACTTAAGTTCGCACTGGTTAGAACGAACCAAGGGATTCTCTTCAGATCTGGCGATAATCTCGTGTAAGATTTTATATGTGGCATTGCTCTGTTTCTTCCGGTACGCGTAGCTTTCCACTGGCTAAAAAGATTATGAGGTTGGAAATCATGATCATGAAGATTCAATAAAAACTGAGAACTTACCACATGTATTTCTGTATCCATTCTTGCTTCGAATGCGTTTGAAGACCGTAAGGTAGACAGCAGGATCCGGCTCGACAGTCGAAGCTTTGTTTATAATTAATTACAGTCGGATAAATGAACTGGAAATGCGGCTGACTTTTTAAGCTTGTTGGATACTCCATCGACATCGAGGACGTGATTTCTTTTTGTAGCCAACTTTCGTAATTAGGGCCTAAGCTACCGATACTGGAACTCTGAGCGACTAATGTCCACCGCGGCGCGTCTGGCGGAAGTGTAACATGTTTCGAGAGAACGGAACCTAATTTCTTATGTCCCCAACAATCTAATTCCAAGCCTGTGTGTCTCCCAGGTACGGAGGCCAAAAAGAACACATTTATATCCGAGAAATCAGCTCTTCTGACAGCAGACACCATTTCCGTTATAGCTGGCTGCCTGTATTTGTTCAGGTAACGTACAAAATCCTTTTTAAAGCCTGTCGGAGATTCCCCATCTCCAGGATTTGCAGAGTCTGCTAACGGTGGGAGATGCGGCGAAATCCAGAGTCTAATTAACAAAACCATTATTCTATCTTATTTTATATTATTATTTAAAGGAAACATAAAATTGTTAAAGACAAAAATATTTGACAAACCCTTGGGTCCTGTTCTCCCAATCGTCCGCGTACAGATTAGCGGTGGAGATTACGACTCGTATGCCATCATTCTTGTATTTTAGTATCATGATTTTAGAATGATGACAACCGAATTTTGTTGGCATCGATACAGGTATCATTGTGATGTTCGAACTCAATTTCTCTTCGTCCACTCTATCTCCATACAAGATGTACATATCCGTCCGTTGCCCGGCCAACAAATATTGCAAGCATAACCATCCAACGTCTACCATGAAATTAATATGTAAGCTACAGGCGATTTCTCCTAAACTAATGTCCAATATCTCAGGAAATGTTATGGAATAATCTTGATCGTAGGTCTCTTTCGATTTCTGAATTCTTGTGAAAAACAGATGATAAGGTGCAGAAAGAGCATGCTTCATAGCAAAGTTTCCTGGTTCGACCAAAGACACTTCGAAACCCTGATGCCTCAACATCTTGAGCGCCTTGTCTCTCATGTCATTCCTAGACTTCGTAGAATTACACAATTCGAAAGCTTCAATTATCGATGTCTTCTTTGAAGAAGTAGAATTTTGAATAGAATTCACAGTTTCATTTCTACTCCAAGTAGATTTATCTTCTGCATTGTATTTGACGTCACTTGATTTCGACTTCTTCCTCTCACTTTCATTGTGACTAGTGGACCCTTCACTTTCTCTCTTTCTGTCTTGACAAGAATCTTCCTCCATACTTTCATCAAATAGTCTTCTAACATCATCCACCTCTGACTTCATTTTAGCAATTTTGCTCTTAGAACAGTTAAAAAGTGCCTCTGCTTCTTGATCCATGGTCTTTAATTTTTCCTCCCTTTTCTGAATTGTCGCTTGCTTGTGTTTCTCTACTTTGTCTTTGAAATTTTGATTATTCCCTGTGGCATTCATGTTGCTGACTTTGGAGTTCAGTTCTCTGGCTGAAGAACTACTACCACCTTTATTTCTTTCTTTTCTCAACACCATTTGCAAGATCTTCAGCTGGTCGATCAACAGAGACCGATCAGAGCATTCAAACTCAAGGTTTTCAGGTAAATGTATTTCACCTTCCAATTGATTTAAAACAATTTTTTCCACTGAAACGGATTACACATTCATTTTACATAATACAAATAAGCTGTTAGAAAATAATATGTATATGACACTCACGGTGTGGGTGTAACATCTCGTTGAAATGAATCGGATTTTTCCGATAACATCTCTCCATGTAAGGACATTGCTTTTTGACTGGAACTTTTATAAAATAGCATAATCTTTTGATTCCAACAAAACAACCATACTTTAACCTCAACTTAAATCCACTTACCATTGCTGATACCTAATGCCATTTGGTATTAATGCTCGTCTTGAAAAGCTAATAGAATCGACGTGTACTCTTAAACGTTATATCAAATAATTACGTGTGATACTATAAAAATTTATTTCGAATCTGACAATTTTTTATTTCAAATAGCCGGCTGTTAAGGAACGAACAGATGTCACTAGTGCAGTCTGTTACCAGCTGTTACCTTCAAGTTGAAATTGAAATTAGGTTGATGACAGTTCAAAATGATTTCTGTGAGGTGAATGTTAATGAGTTAAAGTTTAATCGTGATGTATTAGAAGAATTGTTCATCGTTCGATACCTTAATGCCAGAACAACACAATCAAGGTATTTATTGCTTCTTAATTGATCTTTTTATTACAATATTAATATGTCTCCGTTTTCGAATTCTCGCGAGCATCATGCAACTTTCCATTCGAAATCAGTACATTTTGTCAGGTTTTTGTTAGTTCTGGTGTTAAAAAGCAATAAAAGCCAATTTACAACTTGGTTAATCATCTTTTAACAAGCAAACGAATCTTTTATATTTCAACAAATTGTTATATTCCATTGTAGTAGTCAGCGTTTAATACCCTTAACCTTTCGCGGTATTCTTAAATTCTTAGCAACATGATATTAGATATTAATTTTGTCAATACATAAGAAATACTATCTCCAGTTTGATGGAATATGGACAAAATCAATAACAGATACATAGAGTGAAGTCTATAAATACTCGTCAAAAACTGAATAATTTTTATTATATTGGACTTCAGGAATTAATTTGTTTTAGGTATGAAAGAAATATGAAAGAAGCTGATAGCAATTTTTATTACTTTTCTTTTTATACATCATATAATAAGTTAACCTCTCTGTTGACGTTATTGATACAAAAATGATTGTTATTGCGAGGTGTTAGAAAGATGAGCGATTAGGTGCGTCTCGACGCTTAACGGCGACGTCCATAACCGATCCGTCGATGAAGTTGAATTAACTAATCGGAGTTCAGTTTGAACGAGGCAGAAAACTACGTATTCCTCAGGGGACAGAATCGTGTCGGGCGAATTTCCATTTCTGCTAAAAGAATTAGTAGCTGCGCAAAGAAACCGGGGAACGGTCTTAAAAATCAGTTTGCTTTAATATGCATGCGCATAATTTATAGGTCTCGTCGGTATCGGACTGATTAAATTAAAGGCGAACCCGACCGGGCGCGAGATGGTCTCCGACCGCGGGACTAGAAAAACGGGTTGTCGTTTATGAAAAGGTATACGATCGGAAAGCGTTCGAGGATTTGCATAATTTGATTAAAGAATATAAAATTCGACGCTTTGAAAGTGCGGTTCATAGAAGTCCGATGCAATTTTTCCACTTAAAACTTTCATCCTTGATAAACAGAGATCCTTTTCCGAAAACAAATATATTATATGTATATACAGGCTCTTATAATAAGTCCCGGACGACGTACACAGCTGGACGTTGTTTGCGCGAAAGTAGTATGAAACATTTTATCGGGAGCACGAGTGGTATGAATAATAATTTAAATAATGTTTCTCTCGACGGGCACTTAATTGGTTTACCTTCCATTCCGAGCGAAGTATGAATTTCCGCCGAGACGATTCTCATACCGTGGAACGAAATACGGCAAACAGAGAGCCGGTAGCTAAATACCGTCGATTAGTATTTCGCTCGGGAACTGGATGGATGCCGGATGAGATTAACAGTTCGCTTCTTTAGTCGTAATTGTTTCGAGGTACGTTTGAGCGCGAGATTATCTCTCGATCGAGCGGAGGGTAATTGGGAGGTGTATTTACTAGCTGGTAAATTGAATCGATTCCTCGTGTCGTTTCCTATTATCGCCGCCTGAATCGTTCATCTCAGCGAGCGGTTGCACAAATTTTCGGGCATCTGGAAATCCTTGCAGCAAGTACGTGCTTGCATCAAGGAATTGTATCCGTTCGATGGAGAACAATGCCAATAACGAGCCGTTGAAGGAGAACGAGCTGAGTCGGGTGATTCTGTGCTCTTCTCACAAATGCATATCCGAAGGCTTCTCATTATACAATTTTTAACGGAAAGAGGTAAAAGCGACGCGTCTCTTAATTGTCCAGGATTCCAAACATTTATACACGTCCGTTCTCCGAATGCAATTCACCCGGACGGTAACGCTCAGGGAATACCTTGAGGGTCGTTAACCACCGCGAAACATCGGTAATATAGCGTCATAAAAAAACGCAGACGTGAGCAATGAAGCATATAACGTCGAAATAAAACGCGAAACTATCGTATACGTCGTCTAAACGACGCGGCGCGGGGCTCCACATCGAAAGGGTAACATCGTTTATTATCCTTATCACGAGTCTTGCTTGCTTCTCGACCTGTTAATCTATTAAGAAAGTCCATGAAATCATAGTGCTATGGTTAACTCGTTCTTTGTTTTCGATAGCCTGACGAAAATCTTCGTTAAACTGAGTAATATTTTCGACACAGTATCATAATTAGTCTACAGACTTTATGCGGCTATAGAAAAATTGAGTGTCCATAAAAAGTATATGGACCGCGCGTGACATGAAAGTACGGAGAATACAAAAAGCAGAGTATGTATTACAATATTCAAATGATGAAACAAATTTCTGTATAAAATTTGAACTGTCATCATGAATGTTTCGCAGTCTAATTATAATTGTCATGTTGACGAGACTCTCGAAAATACGTAGGATTCTCGCCGAGGTTCGACCGACGCGAGAGGGTACACATTAAACAACGTTGTAGATGTTACGCGACAAGGTCGGAGGTGGACAACGCGGAGCGACCGAAACCGAAAAGTGGTACCCTGTCAGGCTTGCACAGGATGTGGGTGAGAGAAAGAGGGAGAGAGATAGAAAACGTAGGGTGGGAGAGATGCCGTGCGTCGAGACTCCTCGGTCCGCTCAGTCACCGCCCAGACCGCGTCGCAAACGATTCATTCTGTTAGGGCTCTCGTCCAGCTCGACCGGGTCTCGTGACGGTGATCGTTCTTTCGTTTCTTATTAATCTCCCGGCTGGGATCGGACGCGGATCGTCTCGCAAATGCATTTTAACTGCTGGTACCCGGGTGTTACGCGTCTCAGTCACGTGTTTCCCGGTGGTTCCCCGTTTTTTGAAAGGTTTGGGTGCCGGTACCCCTGGTGAAGATCTGGGCGTCGCGCGACTTAAACCGTCGACGTCGAACAGTGATTCCTCTCGCGTTGATCACGTGAAAACTGCAGTGTGAAATAGTAGTTGTCGTGATACCGTGGTGGAGTCGGTTGGAACGAATCCTGTGGAAAGCGGTGAGGAAAGCTCTGGAGGCACTCAGAAAGCAATCAAGATTCATCGCTGCCCGGAAATGCCAGAAAGTCAAGGTCGCTTTATTTACATCCACTGTTACATCGCCGATTCATGGTTTAACATTCGAGCCATACGGAAGTTTCTTGAATCACTATTTATTTTGAATCCCGATCGTGAAGTTCGGCTCCTCTCGATGGATCTCACGTCCGATCGACGATCCGATCTGTTCTATACGATCCTTATCTATTTTCCGCAATGCAATCAAAAGTACGGTACGATCAAATGGGCAACTTTAGAAAAGTGGTTAGAGGCAAATCGGATCACGCGGGGCAGGAAGTTAAGCGGAATTGTAATTCGGGGATTGGAGGGTATACGAGAGACGACGGAACGATGAAAACTACCCTCTTGACCCGCGAGCATTACCTGTTCCATTCGATACACACAGCGCGGTTAAAAAGAATTCATGATTACGTAGCGCCTGTCTATTCGGTATATCCAATTAATTCTTTTGAATTTTGAAAGGCACTGTACGAAACCCATGATCCGTATTGTAGCACAAAAGGAGCAAATATCCTTTGGGAAGAACAAGGGCAGTTTCAGGGGCACTACTGTTTGGTTGCAACAGAAACGGCGCGAGGTTGCGTAGGAAAGTGCGTGTGCTTTCGCAACGTATTTCGTAATCGCGTTTCACCCTTGATAACATTCATCTGATTTACTGTTCAAACTGATCGATCGTACATCGCGATTAAAATTTTTTTCCGTACCACGGAAGGCCGAAAGTTTTCTTGTCATTAGACGCAAGTCGATTAAATTTTAAGGATAGCTCTCAAATTTCCGTGTCGCGTGTTTTTCTTTCGCTTCTCTTTCGCACCTGTCCGTCCCAGAAACGGAAGTTCGAGGAAAAACACTTTGAACCTCATGATTGAGCTGTTACGAGCTGAGAGTTGACGACCCGGAGGTTTCGAATAACTTTAATTAATTTCGAACGTACAACAGCGCAGGGCTTTCGTCAAAGTCCTGACCGCCACGAACTTTTCAAGCTGTGCATTAGTTGATGATAAATAACAAAAGAACGCAGCTTGTGTTATCGACATCGGTTTCACGAAACTTCCGTATAGTTAAAAAGGAAAATCACGTTAAAGGAAATCGAGTATAAATTTCAATACCAGGGCCAAGGTGATCCCTATTTCATTTAGAATCAACCGCGTTGAAACACGGCGGGAGTGAGAAAGATTTTCCACACCCGATACCGTCGTATCGAGAACCCAATTGAAAATATTAACTGTGCTACGACGCGAGTTATATTACCCTGCGATTGTGATTTATAATCGAGCCCAGCGTTTACAAACGCGTCCAGATTTAAAACGGCGCGGCAGTGAACGCGGATTAAACAGATTTAAGCGGCCAGCTCGTAAAGCGGCCGACCTCTCGATAAATCGGATATCCGTCCACCACATATTCTTTAATCCTCGTATCATTAGATCCACGACATCATTTTTCCACAATGAATTGTTTGACTGTTTGCGATGCTTTTTCCGCTCCCCTCTGGCACGCGATTTATTCGTTGTCCCCGGCGTCGGTTCGAACTGAAAAACTGTACTATTTTTTTACGATGAATTTATCTAGACGTTTGTGGTTTGTTGCCACAACGGAATGAAACTTCGTATCGCCACATGTTTTTCTCTCATTGCGCATACATATTTATGAGCGGACGGGTTCGTTAGCCGGGAGGGCGAGAAGTAGATCGAAGATATAGTCTTTGATGAAACGCACAGTGCTTTCTTATTCGAGAACTTCGATCTAACAAGTCACTGTTGTAAGCATTGCCACAAAGAATCGCGGATGGAAGGATCATAGCTTGAAAGAGACACTCGAGTCTTCATTCAATACGACGAAAGGGAGTCCGGATCGTTCGATGATTTCATGAATAATCGACCTTAAAGGCGGCTAATTTTTGCATAGCCAGTCGATAATGCTGCACAGACTCCGTTGAACATCGGCATTCAAGCTGGGATACCATTCGGTATAAATATTCCTAGCGAAGTGGCTCTTGTTCTTAAGCACAAAGAAGCAACGTTTGTGCACAGTGCGCGTTCAATACTCATATTTACAATCAAGTTTATCATAGAGATGGTCTGTCTAGACCACTTCGGGAAAGAATCGAACTTCTGTTCGGAACAAAAAAGAAGAACTAGAGGGATCTTTTTCTCGGCAATATCATCATATATTAGATCCTCCTCCACCATTTGTCATCGTAGCTGGGATTATTTATTGGCAGCTTCAGCTAATGAAATAACGCGGTCTAAGATCAATATTTCAAAATCGCCGGTGAGGACGTGTAACTCTTACCTCTGGACTTTAGATACAGTTCCTCGCAGCACGAGTTACGTGGCACGTGTCCGGCGCTGCTTAAAATTATAATAAACGTTTACTTTTGTAATACGTTGGAATATGAGTGAATTATATTCGTGGATCATTCATTACCGAAGTATTAGTCCTTTATCGTAGCCAAAGACCCAGGATATAATATTGCACCATGTGGCAAGTTGTTACGTAATCCATGTGGATTCGGTCGTTTTTCATCACGAAAAATGTTATTTAGTCAAGAACAAAACATGTTTACGATATATTGTTAAATGCGGTTGTCATATTTTCTGCATATTGAATTTTCTTATAAGTGCTTGAAATCCTCGGTCTAATTATCATAATCTCGAGATTTTATAAAAACAAGGATTTTTGGATTCTGGAAGAGAATAATCATTTTCGACGTGAAAATCGTTACTATTTCGCTAGGTAGTTCAGAGAATTTTCAACTGAGCACCTAGTTTCCAACCCAAGACCCCGTTAGCGGTAGGATTTCGCGTGCACTTCTCAATCTAACTGCACAATCTCCCATCGTTGAACCAGACGAATTTCTCGTCCATTGTCTGATAACCCGACCGAAGAAGGCACGCAATGAATAAATTCATCGCGATGTAACCACACGATCGTTGTTTCGCGCGCTCGGTTTGGTGCAAACAAATCGAATCACACTGTCCGTCCGTCAAGCCCGCTCGAGCGGCATAATTAATCGCGTCACTTTCCAAATTCACCCTCGCCCACTTTTATCCGGGATCGTCGTGGGTCTTTAAGCAACGGACGAGTTCCGAGGGACTTGTGGGCACCGAAGCTGTGGCTGAAAGTTTTCCGCGGCAGGGAGGCGAGGGAGCAGAATTTTCATAATGGAAGTTGTCGCTAGGGATGACGCACGAAAAGTGACAACCCCTTGAATCGGAATAAGGCGTACTTTGAATCCATTTCGAGGGAAAAGTGGCCTTTTACGTTTGTACGAGAGCAAACTGCTTCGTGCTTATAGCATCTGCATGATTTCGGGTGCGCGTGTATGATTTCTCTTTCTATAAAGAGACGAATTGCGTAGAAGTACTTGTAAACTCGAAACTTTTCACTGTATCAGACTTCGAAAATATATTTTCAACTACTGTCTAATTGCAAGTTTGTTTTCATCTTCTGACTTCCACTATCTCTCGTTGAAGCGAGTCTTAAAGAGCTTTCCTACCCGATCTATTTCCATCCACATGAAATATACGTATAGTTTCGATGAAACAAGTTTCGACGGCAATTCCTCAATGCTTTAACTTCTGTCGTAAATAATTTTTTTCATCCGTAATGAAGAAGAAATATTCTATCGGAAGTCGATCGCCGTTTCCGGCCGATATATCTCCACGATCCCGGTGTATCCTGTTTTTAGCTTACTCGCGCGATGGATGGCAGCGCATTTTGACATTTTATTCGAGGCTGGTGCCACCCGCCGATTCCTACGTAGGTGAACGTACACAGACTTCAATCTCTTGATGCGAGGTCCGCTCTGATCGACCGCGACGTGTTTACACGAATTTGCCGACATTTCCCCAGGACGTCTCGAGCCGGTGCCGCCGCCGCGTTTCTCACTGACGAGCAGTTTGCGAAATGCTTCCTTTGAACTTGATTTTCGCAAGCTTGAATCCCGTGCAGTTTTCCTTGATCAAGAATCGAGCCATTATGCTCATGTCCGTCTTCCGGATTGGTCTCTGTCCAAGCGTAGAAATCTTGGTAAAGCAAAATTCTAGCAATCGGTTTTAGTTAAATGTTTAGTGGCTTATTTTTCTGATTCTGTAGTTTTGTTTTTCGAATAAACATTTAAGATTCTTCAAAGGGAAACTTTGAACTGTAATGACATAAAGGGGCATCTTTCTTTGTAACGTTACTTTATGCTGGACGATATTAACAAACGCCAGACAGAGGCTATTAAACAATAGTATCTATTAAATTACCGAACAAACAATGCATTTACATCGATACGGAGGGGATGGGTTAACTATGCTATTTTCAAGCTTCTGAATCGAGGTTATCGGAGGCACTAAATTATTTGGGTCATCCTGAGCCATCGTCATCGGGCGCATCCGGCTTTGCGCGGGATATTTTGATAGCTATAAATAATGTTACCGTCGAAACAATGTAGAAAGATATTTAACGACGAGGTATGTCCGAATCGAGGACCTCGCGAATCGTCCAGAATTCGAGAACGATAGGTTTCGAAAGCTCTGAGCGCAGTCGACGATTAAACAAGACACCATATACAATTCTTAAAAGGTTCTATTTTCGGATTTGCTATATAATTAATAGCGCGCGTCCTGCGAATCATAGTAACGTTTCGAAACAGACGTTATTAAACTCGAACGATTATTGTACAATTTAGATCTGCCAGCAAACAGAAACGTGTTGTGGTAAATTGATTAGTCGCCAAAAATAACTGCGTATCCACTTTGCGCAGAAAGTTTCAAGAGAGGGCCGTAAAAAACCCGCGGGATGTTGTTTAACGACGGGTCCGCCTCGAAACTTATTGTCAGCTCCGAAAAAGCTCGTGCCAAGTAGATAAAGAAGTAAAATTCTTTAAATTCGTCTCAAATTATTGCGACACGTGTTTCTACTGTGTAAAATCTTATGAACAGGATAAACCGGTTTGAGTATGATGCGCGCGTACACTAAAGGAGCATTCTCCTTTCTATACACCTCCCGTGTACTTGCTCGCAATTTC